AAACCCCAAAAGAAGGTATGATGGAAGCAAGACAACTGCATGTCACCAGTTCCTTTTTCAGAAATTTTATAAAATTTTAATTGGATGTTTTGTGTTTTTAAAAGGACTTTTTGTGAACTTTACGGCGACAAGTAGCCTAAAAAGGAAGGTCAGTCGCCGAAAATGTTTTAGTCTTGGAACACAAGTAATAAATGGTGATCCTTTTTGGACAGTTTTGTTTTTTATTTTATTAAAATTAAAAATATGTAAATATTATCAAAAGTATTAAGAAACTTTCACCTTGTCAAATTATTACATTTTATCATTATCATACAAGTACTATTACATATTGTACCTAATATGATGATAACTTATCATACAAAAACAATAATTATTGTACATCTGGTAACACTTGAGTGTCACCAAACAGTAGCAACAGGTTGATGTGAAGATTTGGGAAATTTGAAATTACACTAGCCAAAATTAGTGTCAGATTAGTAATTGCCAAATCAGTAATGGTCACCTGTATAATATTTTGAGCATTATGGTGAATTCAAGATCTTTGAATTGTATTATAAAAGATACTTTTTTTAGTAATATATTTCTCTGAAAATGATAACTTTGAAAGTATTTAATTTCTGTTCATAACAACCTCTTTGTGACTTCAATAAATTAGATTTGTAAAAAGTTTGAATATTTCTTGAATTTTATAAATAATATGGCAATAAATCTCTGATACAGTATGCTTTTGTCATCTGGTCTCTCAATTATTCAGCATATCTCTAAATGTGATTATTTATGTACTTTCACATGCGTGAAAATTCAGTCATGTCACATATCCTGTTTTCCTCTTTCTCAGGCTTCATTTCTGTGTAAAGTATTGTATGTCAGCATACCTATTGTATTTTTGTGGATTGACCAGCATGTCACATATAACTGGGGGAGACAGACCAGCATGCTGGTTAAACAGAAACTATAAAATAAAATTAATCTGAGCTAAAAAAAGTAGCTGTTAAAATAAATGTTAAAGAAAACATTCTTCTGAGTACAATAAAATAATAACATTGTAATTTGACTCACTTAAAATCAGGAAGAGTTTTTGTTTACAGGACAATAAAACAATTAATGGTTTAATGGCAGTAGTAGTTGTAGTTGTTGTTAGTGTGGGCTGCAATGACCATCTACCCTGACCTTAAAAATAATACCACCTCTAATTTCACTCAAAGGGGTTAATGTGCCCTCTAGAGAAGGCTGTATAACCTCACTTACACCAGCATGCTTGTTTTTACCATACTGATTGATTGATTTGTTGAAGTTTTTTGATGCAAGAGAAATTTACGCTAATTTGTGCCATGTTAAATGGTAAATTGCATAATAAATAAATATAGAATGTATATAAAATTGAATATTTATGATATAAAATATCAACTACAAAAAAGAATAAAAACCATGTAGAACTGTACAAATAAACCAAGCAACAACACAGTATTTAAAATTAAAATAAGTAATCAAATCTGTCTATACACATTAGTGACTTTCAGAATATCCAGTAGTGCATTAAGATTTGGCCTTTGGCTCAATTTTACCATATGGAAATATCTGATTTCATGCCCTTCCCAGATAGATCAACATACCAGACAATCCGCAAAAATACAGTATTTGTCCATCTTCAAAGAATGTCAGATTAGCAAGAGTCCAGTGTATCTAGTTATTAATAGGTCATTTTGTTGATTTACTAATATGTTTCAAGATGTCGTCAACAATAGAAAATAAAAAAAGTTTTAGAAATTGCAAAAAAAAAGAGGAAAAATAAAATATTGCTTATGCAATATGAATTTTTTATTTATTAATTAAATAAAAATTATTAAATATAAGCATTATTAAATATATAAAACCATTTAATTTTAAATTGTAATATTTTTCATTAAAAAAATGAAAAAAATACATAAAGAAAGATTATAAAGATAAAAATTTTTGTAGTGTACTATGATAGATATTTTTGTAGACTGATCATTTATGATACTGTATATTTAAGTACCTTTTTCTGTTGTTTTCAGGATTCTGCATTAAAACGATGGAGGATGCCAATATCCTGGAATAATCTTTTTGGCAATGCACCTCCTTCTGATATCTATTAGGACTGATTACTCAGAAGTAATAAAATTCACATTAAAAAAGATATGATAACAAGATAAAATTATTGTTTATATATTACATTTTGTAATTATATTTGTATAATATAAATTCTTCATATGTCAAAGATTAAGAATATGCAACAATGAAACTTTTTTGTAACACTTAACAATAATATTTTTAAGCAATATGAATAAAAATGGAAATTCTTTTATAATTTCTTGCAATTTTTTTTGTTTTTGTTTTTAATAAATTTATGAGAGCTTCATTGTTGTAATGATGTCATTTTCGGGAAATAAAATAAAGGTTAAAGTTGGACAGACTATTTCTGAAATGTAGAGATATCATACTTTCTTCCTGTTAATCAAAATGGCAAATCACAATCAGGAAATTGTAAGTTTCCTCTTCCTGTGTACTTATTAAATAGTCTATGCTTTATAAGCATCTCTAACTAGTACCAAAGAATCCAGAGTTTTAAATGTTGTGATGTTTTGTATCATTTCAATTTTAAGTTGTATTTTATTAGTAAATGGTAAGAATTTATATATATTATTTAATTTCTGCCTTCAGACATAGCACTATCTGTATGCCTTTCTAGCACAAAATAAAAAATAATAAACTAAATATAATTCATACAAAAAAGATATAATTTAAGTGAATAATTGTTTTTTTTTTTTAATTACTGTGTCAGGTAGCAAATGACATGCACGTGTTGAGTTGAACATATTAGTGTAACAAATATTTGCAACTCAATTAATTTCTGCTAAATCAGCATAGGAACTGTGACAATCACATGAAATTACCTGTTTTTTCATATCCAATGTTGTTGGTGTTGTAGGTGTATTTGCTTTATATCATATAAATGCAGTTGTAGGTGTATTTGCTTTATATCATATAAATGCAGTTTTGTCAACTGAAANTTTTTTATGATTTGTAACAAGAAAATTTATCAATGCTTTTTAATGGTCTTGTTTATATTCATTATCTTGTCTATTATTGGATATCTTATGCTAAATATAATTGTTATTTAGGTTCTATTTATCCAGCTATTTTTTAGTTCATTTTTTCTCAGATAACTTATTTTTACTAATAATTAAAATGCAGAAAATTGAATGATATTGAATTTAATATTTAAATATATTTTCCAAAATATTTAGTCATCTATATAAAATATTTTTCCATTTTGTTCTCTGCCTGAAGATGAAACTGTACTTTCATCAAAAGTACTAGCAAATATAATTTATTATTTTATATTTGATGTATGTGTTTTAGTTAAAAATTAATGCTAAAAGACATTTCTATAATTTAGTAATATAAATGCTCTTTTTATTATACTCATTTCATAATAGGTAACAAGAATGGTATTCAGGTATAAAATTTTAAACAATGTGGTGTAGAGAAAGCAATTTAAAATATCAGTACTTATATTTATTAATTTTGCATAGCTAATATGTTTGAGATTTTTGATTTTATTCATTATCCAGTGTTAATAAGCTTACCTTTATATTTCATTTATCACTGTTATATTTCAATATTTGAATGATAATAGATACTTTAATATTTCTAAATATTTTATTAATTTTATTTGATGTTTGTTTATTGATAATGAAACATAGATTTAAAAAATTTTCTAAGCATGGTTAGATTAATGAGAAACATTTAATTTTTCCTTGCATATTTTTTTTTGTGATTTTCTAACAAAATTAATCTATTTTAATATATAATTTTCCAAACTTCATTCTAAACATATACATATTTATGAAAAGATTTGTGTGTGAAATTCATTTTTTTTTATAAACAATGATTTCAATTTAAACTTTAATTAATATATTTAAATAAATTGCTAAATTAATATGTAAAAATTTTTGAGACGAGAGAGAGCACTTCACACTGGATGCTAAACACTCCTCACACTGAACCTAATTTTCAGTGTTGGAAAAAATTTGCACTTTACAAACATTTTCAGGCTCCTTTGGAGCATTGCTTCAGGTGACTGTTGCCCTTTCGTTGAAGGAACACAAAATTAAAATTAAAAATTTCAATGTTTATATCAAGAAAATCGTATCACTATCTGTTGAGAATGGAACAGATTTAAATAAATGGATGTGTTGAAGCATAAACATTAAGAAAAATAGAACAAATGCCATGCATGAATTTGCACATGTTTAGACAGACACTCCAGTGCCTTCCATTTGTTTTAAATCTGTTCCATTCTCAACAGATAGCAATATGATTCACTTGATATAACAACATTCAGATTTTTAATTTTAATAATGTGTTTTGTCAAAGAAAGCACAATGTTTACTTGAAGCAGAGTTCCAGAGGAGCCCAAAAATATTCATGAAGTGCAAATTTTTTCTCCAAAAAACTGGTTCAGTGTGAGAAGTAAAAATTTTTGTTAGCTATCTAAACCATGAGCTATGTAACATTATCAATTTTGTTCATAATGGATAAATCTGATCTATTTTGAACTAGGATCAGGTTGCATGGATGAAAGATGAGAAATAATACATTGATCTAAAATACACAAAAAGTCATAAAAATTTAGATTAGATTTGAATTTGAATAGGGATCTTTTGTGTCAGTAAGATGATATAGCAGTCTTCCAATACTATTAAAATATACCTGTTAAAGATTTATTAATTATAATTGTTATTATTGGTTAATAGTATTCGTCAGTGTTATAGCCTGCTTTGTCTTTAACAGCAGCTAGCTTATAACTGAAGTAATAGAAGCCATCAATTTAAAGTAGTGTCCTTCAAGCAAGAAATGATTAAAACAATAAACAAAACAATATTTCAAAACAATCTCAACTAGTGTTTTAAAAACACTAGTTGAGATTGATGCTATGCAATCATTATCAGTTTTTATTATCAACCCTATTTTGAATCTTATAGCATAAAAATGTGTATTTATTTGAGAATACTAATAACTAGCCAAAACACTGATTTAATAATTAAGGTTTTATAACTTTTAACTTATATGTTTTGAATGCTAATTTCTAGTAATTAGACAACTGACAATAGTATCCATATTGTACAATAAATTAATTTTATTCTAATTGAATAATCTGAATGATAAAATGATTCAATTTTTTAAAAATAAACAATTTTTCTTTTGGGTAAATGTTATAACACAAATGCAATGAGGTTTACATAAAAAATAATTTAAGAAATTGTACTAAAAAGAAAAAGAACTGAAATTTTTTTTTAAATATTGAATACCAGAATGCATAATTAAATTATCATTAAATCCTTAGAAGTAATTTTTTGCTTCCATTTCATAAACAGGAAGTTTGACTAATTGCAAAAGCAGCATATTGAACTATATTGTTACAAATATCATGGTTTCCTGTTAATGTTGCACTGAGTTTCATATACTGTTTTTGATAGCATATAAAATATTACTTAATTCAAATGACTGTTGTAAACTGTTAATCTTATAGCTTAATTTTTATCTACAGTTTACATATGGAAAAAATAAATAATAATTATTTTTTAAATTTATATTTATTCAGTGATNGGCAAGTGTTTGTGCTACCTGTAGCAGTAATGAATAGCACATCTTTTTCATGTTATATCATTGTCACAATAATTAAGTGAATATAATATATATATATATTTTGTAAGTATAACAAATTATTTTATTATTTTTTAAATTTATATTTATTCAGTGATTATAAAAATTAAAAGAACTGATGCTTAAAATAATTTTGAAATAAAAATTAATATACAGTCGATCCCCCTGTAACATGGTAGATACGTTCCGGTTTTTATGAATCCATTTTCTACGAGTCCAGCCAATCACAGCTTGGCACGTATGCAGTTTAAGGACTACGGCTGTTTGAAAGGTTTCTTCCATAAAATGAATCGATTCTAGACTAATTCAACTCAACATTTCCAAAATATGTATAATTTTTTGGGAATAAGCCATATAAACTATGCTATAAACAAAAAATTGTAGGATTACTTGCCGAGTGTGCACCGTTCGACTACGCCATTGCTTAAGCTTGTTTTCGTCATTTTCGATGTCATTGAATGGTGCTCGCGTGCTTCCTGATAAATTTTTTTTTGCGAAAAATTTGCTGAACTTTGGAGACATCATTAATATAAATATAATTTTTATGGACGTTAAATAATAAATGGTTTTTAGTAGGTCCGCTGCTCATTTAAACTCAACGGTTTGTGCAATATCCGCTATTGGTCTAGATTCAACCAATCCTGTTGCGACATGAGTCAGCGATGACGTTTTACCAAATTATACGAGTTTTTTTAGTATGTTTGTACAAATACTGTCACAATTTTTTCGCCGTGATATAGGAATCCGAACTATAGGAACCCATGTTATAGGGGGGTCAACTGTATATTATAACCAAACTTGCATTCAGAAAACTGGAATTAATGAATAATTTAATGTAAGAAAAAAGTAGCTACAAATTCTATTTTCTAATAGTTCCATTTTTCTAACTGAAATGAAAGACAGTTGTTATTTTGAATTTTATTTTTTGAATTACAATATTATCTGAAATTTTAATAAGTTTTTCTAATGTTTTCAAATATTCAAATGAACAGCCAGATTCTTTATAGTCTACATTAAGGTTAATTAATTAATCTTAATGTAGCCCAATTAGAATCTGGCTGTTTGTTTGAATATTTAAATTAATTATCAGATTGATTGTATATGTTGTTCTAATGTTTTTGTTTATATCATAGAAAGAATTTTCGACACAAATGTAGAGAGTTAAGGTAACAAACAGATTGTAGGATATCTGGAAAAGTACTTGGTGAATTGGGATTAAATTTGACACATAGAAACATCATGCCATGAGAGATTGATTAATCTTACAAAATGAAAACAAAAAGTTAACCTCTAAAGTATTCAAAACATAAAGTAGCAGATTCCCAAACAGAAGAACCTAATAGGGAGTGTAACCATTTCTGACAGCCATACAACACCCAAAAAGAGCTGTCATACTGTTTATGAATCTAGAGAAGGCTTTGGGGCAATAAACTCTGAAGCCTTTATCACCCGGTTGCCCCATTATGGACCCATCCTGGGCATGGAAAAAGGCCCTCTTAGTCCCCACAGTGTAGGGAGAGTCAAGAAAAAATCACAAGAAATTTCAACTCAAATCCCAGCAATACTTAGTGCACAGAACTAGAGGTCGAAATAAAGTTCAAAATGATTTATATTTGAAATCCAAAGATTCTATTTGGAAATACACAAAGGAGCAATACCCATTACTGACAAAAATGAGGTCTTGTATTGGCTCTACATATTAGTAGTTGGCTGAATTCATATTTTCCAATATGAATATTTTAAAATAAGGAAGAAGAAATTCTTCAAATGATGAAGACCTTGATCAATGTTTAAGATTATTTCTTTTGTTATATAATCCGGACTTTCAAAATATTGCTAACTCTGAGCAATGTTAAAGATCTCATTAATATTACTTTTGTTTGTATTACTCATTATTGTATTCCTAGTTTTTCTTTATAATAATAATATAAATTACTGCATAATTTTTGTTCTTAAAATGTTTAATGCTATATATCAGAGTCTAATTTTGTAATTTTACAATAATAGATTACAATGTTGCTTTTTAAAAGCAACATTGCAATCTATCATTGCTATCAAAGCTACTGCTTGCATGTACAGAAAAGTTGTCATTATAATCACTTTATTATTATTTTTTTCACCTATACAGAATTTATTGATATTTTTTCAGTCTGTATATATATATATATTAAAGCAAAATGTTCCATCCCCACCAAAACTGAAACCAACACTACAAAGAAGTAGTGTTTAAGTAGGTCACACCAAGTTGCAGGTGGGGTCTACAATTCATTCCTTGAAAGGACCACCATGGACTCAGCATGAATTCATGGAAAGGATTAACAGAAGGGAAGGAAGGTCTTTGCATAGGGATAGGAGACACAAAAAGACTTCACTTTTGGCTCAGACTTGGAATTGAAGAGAGAACTTTTCATTTGCTTCTGTAGCAACTATTCTCTAAGTTTGATTTTTGAATAATAATCTTTGGTTATATACAGATATACAGATTTAGTTTTAATTTTTACATTATTTTAAATAATTTTTATCTGTATATATGGTATTAAAAGCATAATTTAAAAATTAATTTGATTTTACAATTTGAATATTTTAAAACAACTTTTAAATAGATTTTAAAAACGTTTTAATTTTCAATTGATTTGATTTAAAATAAAAACCAAAATTAATTTTATTTTCAGTTTTAATGTAAAGTGGCTACCTAGTATGCTTTAATATCTGTGGGTNACTTGCCTGAAGATTAGCATAAGCTTGAATGTGCTTTTTACTTGTTTTATTATCTGAACTGGAATTCTCAACAACAGATATTCAATAATGCAAGATTTATTTCATTAGATTTAAGTTTTTTGTTATAAATTAGAAAAACTGAGAATCTAACTAATGTATTGGAATTATGAAATTGAAAAATGAGTCCTTTGTATGAAGAGTCTAAAACGAAATAAGTGCACCTTAATATTTTTAGTAATTTCATTAATTTTTGTTATATAAATTTTCCTGATTTTAAAAAAGTTTCTAAATTTTAATTTTAAGTGAGTTAACATTAATTGAACTATCAGGCTGCCTAGTATAGATTAAAAGCAAAAGTCTTAAGCATTTTTTGTTATTTTTTTAATTATTCAAATGAAATATTTGATCAGTGATTTGGAATTACTAAATTTCAAATTCAATTTTGACCCACTTTCAGGAAAAGAGAACCTTTTCTTGAAGGTGGATTATGCTTTTGGAAAATATGCTAGGAAATATGCTTTCTGTAATAAATGAATGCAATTCTTACACTTTAGAAACAGAACAAGTTTAATTATCTACTTGTAAGTGATTTTTTTTCCCTCTTTCAATTGTATGAAGGTCTGAATTTAGTTAATTTTTTATCTTATTTTTATTCAAACTTATAGACTTAAATGCAAAAACTTTTTTTATTATTATTATATTTGTTTAGCTGAAGATGACCTGAACTATGACTGTAAACATTTCTAATTAAATGCTTTTGGTAATCTCAAGTTTATATTAGTTATATTAGTATGGTTAGTTAACCATATGAGTGTTGAAGGATTAGCTTTTTGCTAGAGGAAGAGTCAGTATAGTCATATCTCAAAATGTATAATAGTAAGATTGATATCTTTGGAACAAAGCAGAGATCTTAGAAAAGTGAGGTGTAAAAGAGAATGTAAAATATCAGAAATCCTTTGGATTATGAACATAATGTAATCAGTATTAAAAATTGAAACAATGTTTCCAGTATGGAAATGGCTTTTTCACAAACTTAACAACCTTAATAGTAATTTGTTATTTTATATTAATTCTCAAATTTTATTATAACATATTTATAAATTATTTGATTGGTCACAATGATGATTATTGTTATAGGCTTAGTGTTCAAATCAACTTGCCTGAAGATTAGCATAAGCTTGAATGTGCTTTTTACTTGTTTTATTATCTGAACTGGAATTCTCAACAACAGATATTCAATAATGCAAGATTTATTTCATTAGATTTAAGTTTTTTGTTATAAATTAGAAAAACTGAGAATCTAACTAATGTATTGGAATTATGAAATTGAAAAATGAGTCCTTTGTATGAAGAGTCTAAAACGAAATAAGTGCACCTTAAGTTTGAATAAGTTTGAAATGATATTTATTTCGTTAAGGCACTTTACAAATGTTTTTTTAATTGTATAGACCAGAGATGGTGAACCTTTGAGTCTGCATGCCATATACTGAGCATAATTGTCTTTAAAAATATTTGTTTGCTGACGTTTTAGATTTTGAATAACTATATTTAAAGAAATGAATCAAATACATTTACATTTTAATTAGAATAAATGTAAAGATAATTGAAAAAAAGGATGTTCAGATGGTAAACCAAAAGGATGACTGAAAAAAGATAAACCAAAATCATATAGTGCATTATGTGCCATATAATTTCTCTGATGTACCACTTTGAGTATACATGTCATAGGTTGCCACCCCTGGTATAGACTTTAGTGGTTATTTTATTTTTGTTTATTATACATTATTTCCAAATTTAAAAAATTAAGAAAAGTTATAATATTTTCTTTTGGTTCATATAAACTTTATAAACAAAAAAAAAACATATTTTTATAGCAACTAGAAATATAGATATTTTAGTACAGAAAAAAAATTTCTTTCTGTGCTAAAGTTCAGAAAGAAATCAGAAAATTTTAATGACAAAATTTCTTATCTTTAGTTCTATATGTCAGCTTAAGACAATTATAAATTAGTTGAAATATCATACAATTAAAACAACAAACAATAAAACAGTTGAATTTTAAATTCTGTTCTATTTTAAATTTTTTCTACAATAACTTTTAGAGACAAAATATCAAATACAATTTTCAATAACAAATGTAAATTAGCTGAATAATCTTACAATTTTATTATCAACATACACAGTATTTACATTCTAGCCATTGAGATTGAAATTAAGCTAAACTTTTTGACTGTTCTAAACAGCTAAGATTTGTGGTTCAAATTTATGAATATCAGAGTGATAATTAATTGGCACCTATTGGCAATTGGAATTACTAATATATTATGATCATATATATATATATATATTTATATTGTCCCACGTGCTACATTACTTTGTCGCTTTGAAGTCATACAAAGGAAATAACAGTCTTACATGCATCCTTTCCCTGGTAATATAAAATGTCTACAAATTTCATATCAATCTCATCCTACTATCCTTGGATGTAAACAGATTTCTCACTCCCTTAAAAAAAACGCTTTTCAGTTTCTTTTCGGTTAGTTGACGAATCTCGTGCCTTTCTTAGCTGTTTTTTTATAGATAGTAGGTGTCCAGCAGGACCAGACAAAGGTCAAAGCAAAAAGATGCTTCCTTTAGGTGAATCACCAGTATTTATAACACTCGCCATCCGACATCACAGGTTGTATACATAATCCATTCCTCTACCCATTGGTGAGCCAGGGTACATTAACATCAAAAAAGTGGTGTCCATCATAAAAAAAAGTGGCACGATTTATTGTACACAATATAACCCAATATGAATTAAACTGAACGCTAGTCTCTTCTGATTCTATGTCACGACTTGGTGCATTTATAGACACTTGGCAAATAATTCCATCACCTACATTTACTTCTTACAGAAACGTGTTTCGGGCTTTCGCCCCTCTTCAGTCTGTTACGTCGATAGTTGTGACTTGTGTGTCCGTACNAGAAAAACTGAGAATCTAACTAATGTATTGGAATTATGAAATTGAAAAATGAGTCCTTTGTATGAAGAGTCTAAAACGAAATAAGTGCACCTTAATATTTTTAGTATAAAGGTCCATCTTCAGAGTCCAATCAATAAAACAACCACTTTTTAAAAAATTCGTTAATTCCTTAAAATTTCAAGTTTCTAGATATTAGAAAATTTAAAAATTATGAACACAATATTGAAAAACATATTATTTAGAGATACTAATAAAAAATTTTATCCATATTAATTAATTTATTAATGACTTAAAAATGCAGGGTAAGTTAAAAAAGTCTCTCCAGTTTTGAAAAATCAGTACTTGATAGTTAATGGACTTATATGAGCAAAACTGCACATCAAGACAAAGAAACTCTGAAAGTTTTTCATATTTCCCACCAGACATAGTTGCATAGAATTAGAGTAAGAAAAGGTAGAGTAGAGTAAAAATGGCAGAGGAGAAGGCATTTTATATATTTGAGTTCCATACTAGCAAGTCTGTTATCACTGTTTAACATAGTTTTCTCATCACTTAAGCAATGCAGCTGCCAACAGGCAAGCCAATTCATGCATGTTACACACAGTTTTGAGATCTAGCTGCCTACATAAGAAGAAATCGACTGGATGGTTGTTCAAATCAGCAGAAAATGTGGAGTGTATGCGACAGACTTTCCACCATATCATGAAAAAATCCACTTACCATAAGTCGTGAACTTGGAATTGAAGACATGCATTGTCAATATCATGGAGACCATCCAAGTGGACATGCTGAGCTGCATTTGGCAGGAACTATATTACTGCATAGACCTGTATTGTGCCACCTGCGATGTGCATGTTGAGAATCTGTAGGGACTGAAAAAAGTTTGTTTTTACATGCATAGTTACATGTTCATTGAAGTATCTCCAGCAATATATATGTAGCAATTTTTCAAAACGAGATCTTTTTACTTATCCTGAACATTTCTACTAAATCTATCTATATATATATATATATAAATGAGGATGTTTGTTTGTTTGTTTGCTATGCACTCCTAGGCTGTTTGGCCAATTGCTCTGAAACTTGGCAGTTATATTAACATACTTTTAACTTAAATAATGTCATAATACCATCTCAAAATATTTATTTAATTTCTATATATTATTTAATTTCTGCCTTCAGACATAGCACTATCTGTATGCCTTTCTAGCACAAAATAAAAAATAATAAACTAAATATAATTCATACAAAAAAGATATAATTTAAGTGAATAATTGTTTTTTTTTTTTAATTACTGTGTCAGGTAGCAAATGACATGCACGTGTTGAGTTGAACATATTAGTGTAACAAATATTTGCAACTCAATTAATTTCTGCTAAATCAGCATAGGAACTGTGACAATCACATGAAATTACCTGTTTTTTCATATCCAATGTTGTTGGTGTTGTAGGTGTATTTGCTTTATATCATATAAATGCAGTTGTAGGTGTATTTGCTTTATATCATATAAATGCAGTTGTAGGTGTATTTGCTTTATATCATATAAATGCAGTTGTAGGTGTATTTGCTTTATATCATATAAATGCAGTTTTGTCAACTGAAACTGAACTTTATCTCATGATTAAAACAGACTTGGTTATAAAACAAACTCAGATTTACCATTTGATAGTTGTAATTGGAATACCAGTAAGTTTTCTGCATTTAACTTACATTTTGTTTCAGTGCATTTCAAGTGTGTACAGTTACACACTTGAAATACCAAAAAATAAAAAAGGAAAGATGAATTTGTACTACACAAAAATGCAATATGATGAAAAATATCAGATTTCCTTTTAATTAATTTCTATATAATATTTAGTCATTTTTACATTATCATCATCATTATAATAGTAAAAAAATTTAATTTTGTACTTATTTATAAAAATTTTTATTCTTTAAAGGTCAGTTTGATACTAATTTTATTTTAAGAAGTTTACATGGAAGATTATCAGATTCTAAAACTCCATCGCTCATTCATTGTATTAGTAGCAAAGGTAATCCAGGAAAAATTGTTTTTAGTAGAGAATTGGATACTGGACAGGTTAGTATGCAATTATTTTATTTATAAATTATTTTTAAACGATGAATGTATTGTATTTGCATCTTATATACTTTAAACTAAAATCTATTTTTATCTTGTACCTTACAAATAGGGGATAACACTTCCAAAATACAAACAAGAGTTTATACAAGGACCACCATTGCTTGCAAGAGTTCTTTACATGCCAGCTGAAGAACAAGCAAGTAATTTTGGTGCATTTCAATGTCATATTACTAATGGAGGTGTTGATACTACTGTATCAACTTTAAAACTACCACCACTTAGTAAAGGTAATTATTAATTTTTATATTTCTTATAAATACATTAGTTATAATTTACATTAAATAACAATCTGATACATTGCAGATAAATTAAATTTTTTATGATATCTAACTGTTAGATATTTATGGAATTGGCATATTTATAAATCAAAACACATACACATAATATATATTCATAGTATAAAATAACTAAAAATTTTAATAATAAAACATAGAAATTACAAGGATTGCACTAACACATCTTTCTTTATCTGTGTCTACTTGGCAAGTGGGTGATCACTGGCTCACTTAAGATGTCTTATGATGATCCCAGATGGATATACATAGATGGTCCTGAGAGAGCTATAAAATGTTAATTCCAGGGCTGCTTATATAAGCACTCCACAGCACTCCAAAGAAAAATAAAATCACAAAAAATGTCTAAATTTTTATTACAGCAAAAAATAAAGTTTAATTATATAAATGAACATTTTCAACAGTTTTAAATTGTCATCTTCAGGCTGAAGAATAAATATGGAAAATAGAATTTGAATATTAATCACATGGGTACCTTTTCTTTATTTCGTTATGATTTTTTAAAATGACAAACAGTTTTGAACAGCTTGACTATTCTGCTTCAGGTCAGTTATACACATGTTCCAATTAGAATTCTCATACTATAGCATTCTGTATTTGTATTCAATTTAAATGTAGAATGATATAGTATGAGCATTCTAATTGGAACACATGTGTAACTGACCTGAAGCAGGAAAGTCAAGCTGTTCAAAAATATTTGTTGTTTTTAAAGTAATACTGGAATAAAGCAAAGGTTACCAATGTCATTAATATTTACATTTTTCCAATTTGGATTTCTTTCTTTTTAATTGGTGAACTTGAATATTTTTTTTAAAAATGAACATATCCAAATTTTATTGGATAGAATATGTACTGTACATAATAACTGGCATGATCTTGCTGGACAATGGTTTGTAAATAAGATCAAAAAAGATTTTCATATAAGGATTTTCAGGCATGAGAGAAAGTATCTGCCTGTTTGTAATTGATGGCTGGATCTTTAAAGAAAGCTTTATAAGTCTTCACCCTTTTCAAACGTTTTAAGTGAGATTGGTTACAAATAGGATGAATGATACAGGCTTAGTCATATGCAATATTTTATCCAGTTATTAATAGGCATTGTTTAATAACGTGACTATACTAGCTAAGAAATATAGAAAGATAGTTATTTGTCTCTGCAGGATTTCCACTAAAATGAACTTTTTATTGAATTGCAATTCTAAAGGTATTTTTCCTATTTCCATCTACAATATCTACTTCCTTTGGGAATTGGATATTGTGCATATGCACATCTGTTACTTGTTAACTGTTATTGTACATATGCACATCAGCTATCTTGGATAAGGCTAATTTGTTTAAGGAAGGTCATATGACTTGTTAGAAGATGCAAGGATTCAATTTTAACTTTTTTATTTGCCTAGAGGATGAATTATACGGAATAAACCTGAACTTGCTGTGCACAATTAAGGCAGATGTCATATGACTTGTCAATTTTGTATTGGTCTAATCAGAGGAGAAACACCAATCATCTTAATAGCCTTGCTTCATTCCAATTAAGACACCCAAACTTGTTTGAATATTGGGCCAGTGCCTTAGCCAGTTTATTATTGGTGACATCATACTGATGTTCTTTAATCCTACGGGTCCATGATCTATTTATGAAGGAATATTGCTGATAGACATATTTTTATAACAATAAGCTAATCAATTAGGTCAAGTCTTGCAAGTTTTTGAATATTGTCTTAGTTTTAAGTGTGATGTGGCTGTTTTTGTTATTTGACTTTAAAAACAATACAAATTTTCATTTTTTTAAACAGCTTCCTATAAAATTATGCATTAATTTGTATATCATTCCATATTACTCTATTTCTTTTATTATTCTAATTAATACAATTAACTGTCCTGTTTTTACCAAAATTATCCTATATTATTTGTTCCACAATATTTTAAGGAAATAAAAGAATTTTGCGGTTTGGTACTTATCTTTAGAATGTGAAAAATCATTTCATAGACAAGAAATGGAAAATAAAAACTATAGTATAATTTTAAATATTGACTGTCTAAAATATAAAAAATTTAGATGGAAAATAATGGCACTTTAGTTTAGGTATCTTATCAATGAAATTAATCAATCATTAAGCTTAATTGAATTATCAAAAGAAAATATAAACATCTAAAAACTGAATTTTTAGATTAATTAAAGCTAAATGATTGCCAGATTATATTGGGTTATATTATTAAAATATTAATTTAATTATAATTAAATTTATCAAGAGATGGTGCCTAATGCATACCTCTAGACCAAATTACTTAACATTTAATTATTAACAGTAGCATTAATATAGTCTGATATAATCTGGCAATTGTTGTTTGGCTTAATCAAAAGAGAAAAATTACACATTAAAAATATTTAAAACACAATAGCTGTTGAATAAAATAGAATATATATTTGTATTTGGTAATTATCTTTATTTATGAGTTTTTATTTTCATTTCATTTTATAGTTGAAATTGATGCAGAAGAACCCTACATAAGTGTAAACAAAGGAGATGATGTAGAATTAAATATGATAAAATATGCCAATCACAGTTTAGATATACTTTGGATGCACAATGAACAGGAAATACCTAAATGGAAAAATCAACTTCAAATACAAATAAAAAATGTAAACTATTCTGATAGAGGAATATATGAATGCTATTTTGATGGAAGAAGAAGCTTGAGCTTACATGGCATATTGAGACTTATTGTGAGAGGTAAGTCTAGATAGGGAGTTCAGTTGAAAGACTATAATAATTTTTCATAATTTAAACATTAACTCAGACTGTAACCTTTCTTAAACCAGCAAAAGTTATAAGCTAATGTTTTTGGCCATTTTTTTAAATTGGATTTTTACTGATTTATTGTTATTGTTTAAGTAATTAATCAGTTATTTGTAAACATAGTTTCAAAATTCTTTTAATAATTATCAATATTTACAATTAGCATTTTCTAAATTAACAGTTTTAAGAATTACATTCATTTATTGAACACTTTAATTCTAACAATAATTAGCTTTAAAGTAGACATCTTAAAAGTTTAAAAAAACCATAAATATTGTTGATTCACTGATATACCTAGGTATACAGGGTGTGAAGCTAGGGCAACAGGCAAACAAAGAAACAAATAAGGACTTTACAATACTTTCATACAGATGAGGCAATAACATGAGTTTAATTCTGGATCATACAGGCTTAGTGATTCTCATACATAAGATCATCGGTTAATCCTTAATTATTACAATTAACATACACAGAAGTCATTTATAGCAATATAAAAAATATATATATATATATATATATTTATATTGTCCCACGTGCTACATTACTTTGTCGCTTTGAAGTCATACAAAGGAAATAACAGTCTTACATGCATCCTTTCCCTGGTAATATAAAATGTCTACAAATTTCATATCAATCTCATCCTACTATCCTTGGATGTAAACAGATTTCTCACTCCCTTAAAAAAAACGCTTTTCAGTTTCTTTTCGGTTAGTTGACGAATCTCGTGCCTTTCTTAGCTGTTTTTTTATAGATAGTAGGTGTCCAGCAGGACCAGACAAAGGTCAAAGCAAAAAGATGCTTCCTTTAGGTGAATCACCAGTATTTATAACACTCGCCATCCGACATCACAGGTTGTATACATAATCCATTCCTCTACCCATTGGTGAGCCAGGGTACATTAACATCAAAAAAGTGGTGTCCATCATAAAAAAAAGTGGCACGATTTATTGTACACAATATAACCCAATATGAATTAAACTGAACGCTAGTCTCTTCTGATTCTATGTCACGACTTGGTGCATTTATAGACACTTGGCAAATAATTCCATCACCTACATTTACTTCTTACAGAAACGTGTTTCGGGCTTTCGCCCCTCTTCAGTCTGTTACGTCGATAGTTGTGACTTGTGTGTCCGTACTTCCCGCTCCCTTCCCCTCCCCTCTTTTTTCCCGACTTGACGGACTCCCCCGCATGCCTCGTAATTTGTAACATTACCCTTCTCCGAGTGTTGCACACAGCCTCGCCTGCGACTGTATAAACATTCTATTTTATTTTAATAATTGAAGCCAGTTTTTATGGATGTCGATGCTAAGGTTCTTGTTAATATTATTTTTGTCTNCTGCGACTGTATAAACATTCTATTTTATTTTAATAATTGAAGCCAGTTTTTATGGATGTCGATGCTAAGGTTCTTGTTAATTCATGTTAAGGTTCTTGTTAATTCATGTTAAGGTTCTTGTTCTAAGAGGGGAGGGGAAGGGAGCGGGAAGTACGGACACACAAGTCACAACTATCGACGTAACAGACTGAAGAGGGGCGAAAGCCCGAAACGCGTTTCTGTAAGAAGTAAATGTAGGTGATGGAATTATTTGCCAAGTGTCTATAAATGCACCAAGTCGTGACATAGAATCAGAAGAAACAAGAAAAAGAAGACACGGTTTCGACAAATAACTAAAACGCTAGTCTGTTAAAATTATTACAATCACAACACGAAGAAAGCATTTAACAAACAAAGTGAGAGGGCACTACAATATTATCTTAAATCATATGTCAGTATAACAATATATTCATAAACTTAATGAATTCTTGTTTCACATGAAAGATAACTATCAAAAACTTTTTCAATAAATGTGTGTGCAGTTCTCAAACTTTTTCAACTTCATTATCTGTTTATCTTTAGGGAAATTCATATTATTTTAATGTTCCTAAAAACCACAGGCATTTTAAAATAAATATAAAAATGAACAAACTGCTTAATTGAAATAATATATAAAAATAAATAAATAGGTAACATTTTTTGTTATCCAGCCATTTTTAGGCATTCAAAAAGTAACATCATTGTTTGACCAAATGGCATTGTCATGAATATAGTGCATTGATATAAGAACAAATTAAAAGTAACCTCTTAACATTAAGAATCATATTAGTCATAATAGAAGAATAAATATTAAACCAGGACCTAACTAATAAAATAAAATACAATTATATGAAAAATTTTTTCAGTTAATTGTTTTGATATTTTTCATTCAGCTGAATTATTTAGTCCTGTTTGTATTTGTGTGAATGTTTCACTCAGTCCCTCCCACATTGCATCCTTGTTATGCAGTTGTGCACATACAACCCCTAACAAGAATCATGAATCACTTCATTGTGAAGATGTTTTTGAAGTTTTTAATTAATCATGTAGCAAATAAAAAAAATACTTTTTTAATAATAGTTAAATCTTTTGACTACTTTAAGTATGACTTAAACAATCAAAATAACATACATTAAACACATAATTTTTTAAATTTTACATATAGGAAAAAATTTTGGAATTACATAAAACTGAGGAAAAACTTATAGAATTAGTCAACATAAATAATTTAATTAATACTTAGTTTCTCCATCTTGAGCTTTTATGACAGCCTTAATTCTTTTAGGCATGGATTTTACTGATGAAAAAAAAATATTTGCTATCAATATCTTTCCAGCTTTTCCAAATAGCAGTTGAGATCTGATTTGCAGCATGGAACTTTATCCTCAACAAATTTCTTTAATTTTCACCACATGTTTTCTATTGCATTGAGATCTGGACTGTTTGCTGGCCAGTCTATTGTGTGTATGTGCTGTTGGTGAAGAAAATTTTTAACAGTTTTAAGCCCTATGATAAGATTTATTGTCATCTTGGAAAATGACATTACCATCAATTGTATTTTCAATGGATGGAATAGGAAAGTTCTCTAAAACATCAAAGTAAATCTAACTGTTATAATAAAGCCAGCTTGCCTGGTCCTGTACCTAACATGCAATCCCAAATAATAACTGACACAATAAATTTTGTTGTTTTGCTTAGTCTAAAGTCAGTCATTCTTATAAGCTTCATTAGAATGGCACCAGAAAAAACATTCCAACATCATCTCCATGAAAATGCAAATTCTCATCACTAAAAATCACTAGTTGTCTACAGTCCACAATTGCTTTACTTTGGCCCATTGTAATTTACGAGGATTTTCATATGATTTGGTATTAATGCTGGTTTTTGATTTGCTTTTGTATATGAAAATTCCATTTCTTTTGAAGAATTTCACTATTCTGTCACAGACACTTCCTTTTCATCTCTCTTGTTGTACATTTCCTATTTTCAAGACATATTGCTTTTAATTTCTCTCTCCTGACACTTTGATGTCTTTTGTAGATGACCAGTATGTTTTCCAGTTTGTTTATACTTGCATCAAATTTTAGATACAGCTGACTGTGAACAAACCACATCATTTGCAACAGTCCTTGTTGAACTTCCTTCCTTAAAGAGTTTTATAAACTTTTCCATAGTTTCAATGTAAATTCCCTTCTAGGTGTCTTGATTTTGTTACATTAACAGAAGAGTAAATCATTTCAGCAGCATTTATTTTATATTCAGACTTACTTTTTTATATTGAATAATGTAGCAATGTTTTAAATATACTAAATATAAGATGATTCCACAATTGTTTCCTCAGTTTTAAATGATACTAAAATTTTTTTTTCTATTTGGTAGTCAGAAGTTTATCTATTTAATTTACATAATGTTATACAAGGTCTGTTCAAAAAGTATCGGACCTTTGGTCAGTAAAAATAAATTTATTGACTTTGAGGTACAAAACCCTAATTCCCTTCAAAGTAGTCTCCTTGGTAACGTATACACTTCTCCCAGCGTTCCTGCCATTGCTGGGAACACTGCTGGAACGCATCTTTTGGAATGACCATCAACTGGTCCGTCGGATTTTGCACGATGTCTTCTCTCGACTAAATTCGGGTTCCTTTTAGCGGCATTTTCAGCTTGAAAAATAGCCAAAGGTCACACAGAGCCATGTGGGGAGAGTACAGAGCGTGATGAACCACAGGAGTGTAATGTTTGGCGACGAAAGCCCGAATCAGATGTGCAGAATGGGCGGATGCATTATCACGATGGAGCTGCCAAGTTTTGATCGACCACAGATCCGGTCGTTTGCATCGCACAGCATCGGAAAGACGACGAAGGACCTCCTGGTAGTACTCCTTTGCGATGGTTTGGCCTTGTGATGTGTACTCACAACACACCACCCCACGAGAGTCGAAAGAACTGTCAACACGACCTTTGATATTGCTGTGGACCTGCCGCGCTTTTTTTGGCCTTGAGGATCATCCCCGAAAGCCTGCTGAATCTTGCGAATGGTTTACGCTTGGGTATCGCCAAGGTTTTTGGCAAAATTTGATGTAATATCGCTGCTCACGTTGTTCAGTCATTTTCCAGCTTAGTGAAATCCGACGAGAGCGCACTACATGACCTCACTCATAGGCCGATTGCCAACGACTGACGCTTCCTGCAGGCGGGAAAAAATTCAGGGCTGTGCATGACTGTCCCCTCCACAACTCCACCGAAGGAGGCCTGTCGCGCATCATTGGTTTACGCGGAAAATAAAAAGGTCCGATGCTTTTTGAACAGACCTTGTATTAATCGTTTATACTATTCTTATTATAGGCAAAATGTTTGACTATTATTAGAAAATTATTTTGTATCAATTGCTTGTTTTATTTCTTTGCTACTTGCTTAAAACAGTGTAAAAACATCCTCATGATGAAGTGATTCCATAATTTTTGCTAGTTGTTGTAGTAGCAGAAATTATAATAAAAGAGAGAGAGAGAGAGGAAAAAATTCTATGAAGTTTACATTTTTTATTAAGTCAAATAATAGATGTTTTAATTAATTAATGTATGATTTTATTTGAAGAGTTAAAGTGCTAAACTGATAATGTTTTAACAAATTGGAATTCCTTACAGACTTAAATTAACAGTTTTTTATACATTACATTATTAGAGTGTTACATTGTTAAAGTTATTTATAAAAAAAAATTGATATTTGAAAACTTATTAAGTCATTAACCAAACTAAGTTTTTATAATTACATATTTCATTCTAGGATTTATTTGCATTAATCTAGAACAAACATGATTAAACTTGAATTTATGTTTAAAGCTTCCAAAATAATGAATTTTTTTTTCTGAAATGAAATATTCTATTTTAGCATATTTGTCTAATGTTATATTACAGTATCATATACCAACTTTCATCAGTAACTAACTGTTAATCATTTTTTGTAATCTTTAATACTACTACTATTACATATTAAATTACTTTGAAGATTAATTATGTATACATATATATTATTTAAATGTTGCCTTTTTTATAGCTTGTCCTTCTGGTAAATTTGGGGCTTCATGCAATCAGGATTGTCCACCATGTTACAATGGAGGAATCTGCCATGATATATTAGGAGAATGTATTTGTCCTTCTGGTTTTATAGGAACAAATTGTGAAACAGGTACATTTTTACTTTGTTAATTAAATTATAATATTACTTTACCAACTGTTATGTATAGATATCAAGGAAAAGTATTGGAATCATATCAGATTTGACATTCTGGGTTTTTTCAAATTTCCATGACTTGAGTCTCCCTGAACCCAAAATACAGGAAAAAATTACATGTGTGTTTGTGTGTGTTGGCATCTGTTTTATTTAATATCTCAGGATGGGGTAAAGATTTGGAAATGAAATTTGGCATAGTAACTTGTATATAAGGGACATTGATGCTATTAAATTTTGGTGGTTAATGGTTTAGGAAGTGGGAAGATAGAGTGGGTCACATATCATATCTTGAGTGGAGTCGGATGTAATGAAAATTTTACTTGTTGTTGACATTTAGAATTTCTTCAAAACTCTTCTCTACCCACAAAATAAAGTATTTTGCCTTTTTATTATAATTAATAATATATAATTTATTTTTTTAATAAAATCTCAAAACAGATGGTGCCACAAACAATTTTATTTTAAATTATTACTAATTGAAATAACTGATAAAAAAGTAAGTAAATAAATAAATATATGCATCTAGTAGATTTAGATTTTGTCCTAGAAAATTATTATACAAAGGGAGTGAAGCTGGGAGCAACAAATTTTGGTGAATGGAGTCTGAAAAAAATGCATGTTGCAAACTTTCCTGGTGAGATCAGGAAAGTTATACAACTTGTTAGTGGATTTTTTTAGTGTTATATTACATTAATCAATAATCAATATATTGTTATAAATATTTTCAACATTACAATAATTATGAATTTATTTAAAAATTAATTAAAGAATAAATACAAATTAAATCTTTTCTAACAAAATTTTTAATTTATGTTTTAATTTAGCTTGCAAAGCAAACTTTTTTGGAGTAAATTGTGGTAAACAATGCTCTGCTCCTGCACAAGAAAGTGGATGTGCTGCTCATGTATTTTGTAAGCCAGATCCTTATGGTTGTTCTTGTGCACCTGGATTTAAAGGAACATCTTGTGTAGATTGTAAGTAAAATTTAAGTATACAGTAGAGCCTCGATTATCTGACTCAATTGGGGACTGGGGTTGGTCAGATAATTGAAAAGTCGGATAACTGAAAAGTATGAAAAAATCCATTATTAGTGTAGTATATTATTATATCCCATGTAATTAGTATATTTGTATATTAGTATATCGCTATTAACCTACTTCGCGTTGAATTTTCATCGATGTTAAGCCTAACAAAAATTTTTAAAAATAATAATCGTTGCTATTGTATCGTTAAAAATTAGAAAATTAAGCCTCGTTTAAATACTGGTTCCCTTTTATGGTCGAATGAGTGTTGCCAGCTAAAACACGTAAAAATAATATTAAAGTAGCCAAGACATAGCCAAATATTGTAGCACCACATCACTAGCGGACATTTGAAATTTGCCAACTGGGACGGTCGGTTAACCGAGGTGTCGGTTAATCGGGGGTCGGATAATCGAGGCTCTACTGTATCTGCATATAACTTATAATAGTAAATATAAAGGGTATTCTGCTTGAAAGTACCAATTTTAATTTGCCATAAAGAGTGAATGGTTTAAGATATATAAAAGTAACATCTGGTAGGAAAACTCATCAAGTTTTATAGAGACTTTTTTGTACTGTAAGATGCTGCAGAAGTTGAGTTGTGTGAGAATCCGTGGGTTAAAGTAGATTATTCTAAACCCTTTTTACGATGTTGGACTTGTGAAGCCCACTCACTTTGTTGGTGGATGGGTTTTACTTGTAATTTGTCTCCAGATTGTAGGATATGACTGACTATTTTCTCCTGACACCAATTAAGAAGTAATGTGTCTTAACTCGTAATTTGGAATATGCTTAATTACACTTTCAAATGGGAAGGGGTTGTGAACTTGTCAATAAGAAGACTGACCATCGAAAATAAATCTGCTCAAGACCAATTAAACAAAATTAAAGTTTAATAAGATAAATAAATCAAAGATTACACATATACAAAGGTACCATAATATTGAACTTTCTGACTTTTATGTCCCATAAATTATATTGAATATCTAACTACTTATACCTCTAGTACACCGAGAGAGAGAGTTTACATTGTATGTATAATACCTCTTGTAGATGGTCAGATGTCTTTGGATCTAGTTGATTCTAGAGATGGAGCAGCAATTGGAAATCTCTGGAGGCTGAACTAGGAGGAGAGTCAGTCAATAGCCTTGAAACTGGGATGTTTGGCCCTTTTTATCCCAAAATCTCTTCCAATTGGATGTTAAGATTTTTTCATGTGATGGGATGCAACAGATGAGTTACATTTGCAGGTGTCTCATCAACTGGCAAGATAAGATCTCGCCTCAGGAAGTTGATAAATGGGAAGGAAGTTTTATTTCCCTTTTTCTATCAATATACTACGAAAGTGTAAAAATTTGCACATTTTGTTTGTTCAAAAAAAATTATTATTTTCCAGAAAGTTAATTATTTAATTCCCCAAATGATTAAATAGAGTTGAAAGAAATCTTCCAAATTTAAGGATAGGCTCTTGTTTCATATCTCCAGATTCTCAAATTTATAAGCATTATTGTCTAGTCATGGCTTCACCACAGTAGAAAACACAGGTTTTGGTCTGGTATTCTCAATAGCATGTATTGTCCCAATCTGAACCCCTTAGATTTTTTTCTGTGGGGTTATGTGAAAGATATGGTTTATGCAACTTCAGTCAGAGATCTTCAGGAGCACATCATCACTCTGAGACAGAACATGCTGCAGCATACATAGCAGGAAATTACCTACTGCTGTGATGTTGTCACTATAACTACTGGAGGGCATGTAGAAATGTGATTTTTTCAATGAAATTTGGTGAATTTTTCTTTCATATAAAATTTTTGGTGAACTTATACCTTTAACTATTAATTTTTTATATTCAAATCAAATTGGGTACTTTTGGAACACCCTGTATATATAAAAAACATGATTTGATGTTAAACTAATAAATATAATACTAAAATGTTTAAATTGAGTATATAAAATTATTCAAAAGCATTTCCATTTAATTATTGCAATTAACTACTATTTAAAAAAAATTGTCTTGAAGCAAGAAATAATTTATTATTTATTAATCTAGATAGTCATTCAATTAAAATATTCTTAAAAGATATTTTTAGAAATAAAAAAGTTAACTATAGTTGAATTTTATCAATATTATATTTTTTAAAATATTCAAAAATTGAGAATGAGAAACTTTTAGTTACTGATATAAATAATTTTATTATGTTTAATTTCATAATTTGTTATTGGGCTGCAATTTGAAAAAATTGTAGACCTATATATTTCCACTGTCATCTATCCTTCTGTCTGTCTTTCCTTAATCTTGAGAACGGAGTTAGATAGATGAAAAACATGACAAGATATGGAAACCTTAGTGACAGGAGATTCCAATTAACTATATATGAACTTCTGATGCAAACTGGAAGCCATGTTATTTCAATTCAAAAATTTTTCACTGAAAGGTGTAGGTGACTGTCCTGACTCTATTGTTAAAGGAAAAGTATGATGTACAGAGGCAAGCCACTACTGATTTGAGGTGGAAAGCATATATTTTAAATTAAAGAAATTAAAAATATGATTAAAAATTGCAGCCCAGCACAATAAATAATTGCTCATTTGATTAATAGTTGTGAAGAAACACAAACCAAAACCAAAATTCCAGCAAAAGTAAATTTAATGGAAAAAAAAAAAACATTTTTGATAACCTTAAGCAATCATCTTCAGGTTACAAATAAAAATTTAAATGTCAATTTTTTAAAACAAGGAAACCTCATCTGATTGGATGTTGGTGCAAGTGGTATTTATTGGAGGAAAAAATTATTATAGGACTTCAAACAGAGATCTCCATGTTTGGGGAGGGATGTTGCTGTTTCTGTAATTGATGACCACATTTTTCTTACATGCCTTGTAGATCTCCAGTTCCTCCAGGTGTTTGATATGTGTGAACTCTCTGGAGAGATGTAGAAGTCAGGCCTTATCTTGATGCATTTGAATCTGGTATTCTGTGGCTAGGTTGGCTAATGCAGTGGTGTTATGCCTCTTTTTTTTTTTTTTATCAATGTTTGAACAAATTGGCCAATTGGCCAAGAGTGTTGTCAATAACTGGTATGGAGTATATTCCCAGAAGATGTAGATCTTTATAAGGATCTTTTGTAATGAATACACATAGAAGTTTTGTCTACAGTAAATGCAACAGATACATTGTTGGCTTTCACTATTTTTAGGTAGGTTCGTTTCAGTTGTTGGTTGTATCTTACTGCTCTGTATGCTATCTTTCATGCTATTGCATGTATTATAGGAAGAGTATTTGTAGATTAGATCCTTGATTATCCTAGAAGAGTAGGTGTGCTATGCTGCAATGTTGGTGATGTAATTTAGTTCTCAAGCCATGTCTTTGTCGTTTGATGTGTGTGTAAAAGCTTTTCTGACCAGGGCCTTAAACACCATTATTTAAAAAAAAAAAATCATTTGAAACAGCTAGAATAATTAAAGGTTGGTATGAATGTTTCAGGCAGACAGAGGTGGAAATATGGTCTTTTTGGATAGTGATGTTGATGTCAAGTGAAGAAGAACTTTTTTCAACGGTCAACAGACAGGCGGAGGCCAAATGGGTTAGAATTAAGTGAGTTTAGGAAACTTTGAAGGATTGTCTATGGTGTCATATGATAAAAATATAGTCAACATATCTTGAATATAAGATGGTGTGTTGTTCAAAACAAGAAAGGATGTTATTTTTCAGTTGGCAAATAACCAACTCACATAATGTGCAAATGGGAAATGGGGCTTCCCATTTGTACTCCTATGCCTTGCAATATATCCTTCCTTCAAGCTGGAAGAACAAGGTCAAATGGATTATGATGTCAACACTAACATCCAATTGGACAACATTTCTCATTTTAAAAAATTGACATCCAAATTTTTATTTGTAACTTGAAGATGATTGCTTAAGGCTATCAAAATGTTTGTTTTTTTCATTAAATTTATGACATTTGCCAATGTTTTGGATTTGGTTTTGGTTTTCTTTTAACTATCCAGTTTTTTTTTGATGTTATAATAGCTTGTGAAAATGGTACTTATGGTGCAAACTGTAGACAGCCATGTCATTGTCTTAATGGATTAGAATCATGCAATAAAATAACAGGTGCTTGTAATGGTGGATGTTCTCCAGGTTGGAAAGGAGATTCCTGTCAAATTCCTGGTAATGAAAATAATTTATTATGTTTATAATAGTCTTTAAATGTGTTAAACTAATTCAATTTTTATAATTTTTAGATGATTCTGATTTTGATTCTTTTATAACTTCAAAAGTTACTTGTAAGACAGGAACATTTGGAGAAAATTGTAAGCAAAAGTGTCATTGTTTAGGTAAAGCTGATTGTGATCCTATTGTTGGAACATGTCCAGGAGAATGTGAAGATAATTGGAATGGTACCTCATGTAATGGTGTGTAACAATTTTAATACAGTATATGTTAAATTATTTAGGAATATTAATTAAAGATGTAATTTCTAATTTTTAAATGTATGAATTTAAAGAATATAAATATTTGTTTAGTATGTATTGAAGGAAGATATGGAGAAGATTGTGAAAATACATGTCATTGTGAAGGTGGAAATGAAAATTGTGAAATTGATGGTAAATGTAAACAAGGTTGTAAAGCTGGATGGACAGGTTTTACATGTCAACAGGGTAAACAGTGTTATAAGTTTGTTTCAAATATTAATAAGTTTGGTCAGGATTTACCAGAGACAAATCCTGACCAAAATTTTTGGGTATGCTGAAAGTTATAATAAGAATAATAAGCCTATCTCTAGCACTAAACATTAGGCAGAAACGTTATTTGATGTGAATAAAAAAGTATAGACTATTATAAAGCCCATTATATCTACACATGAAATATATTCTAATGAAAAAAATTTATGATAATAATTCAATTTTTGTTTGCCTATGACACTGGTGATCAGAGTTTAAGCTCTATTAGTCCCTATGCAGATCTTCCCTGTACACAATACAGGTATGCTAACTGGGTATCGCAAGCTTTCGATACAATCTGGCCATGTTAAGTGCTTTGAATGATGTCATGTGCATGCACTTGTTTTCCACAGCAAACCTCTATACGAGCAAGCAATTGAGTTTCCACAAGCATCGTACTGACTTAAAATGGCTAGACGCTAGCTGCCAATGTAAAAGCTAACACAAATAATAAAAGAGTTTACACATTAGAATAAATTATTATTGGCATATTTGTTCTCATATAAAATGTATATTGACAGTCAAAATTTTCTACTAAGCATGCAGCGCATGCTAAGCAAACCCAGAGAATTCACCCCTGGTAAATACTTTCTTAATATGATATTAAAAGAGCCTGCAAGATAATTTGTTTACACAAACACATACAGAAGGTTGATCACGTTCCTTAATGCTGATTTGTATATTACCCATAGTTCCAGTTGTAGGAAGTAGAATAAAAGCAACTGGCCCATGTGCTGCTGTATATTCTGAGTTTTACTTTTGATAAGTAAGGTTTATCTACCACAAATATGCCACCTAAAATTTCAGAATTTTGGGTAGGTTATGTAACTATTCTTTCCAAAGCAAAATATTTGCAAACTCAAATTATTAAAATGTGCAAAAATCATGATTTTAATGTTTTACAATATGGGATACAGTCAGTTCTCAAAAGAAACGATTCGCAAGAGCCAGGACTATTGTCAAGTGTTTCAGTTCGGCCCAGAAAAAGGAAGGCTCCAAGTCGCACACTGGAGGTGATAGCAAAAGTGTGATGACTGATCAGTGGTTCAAATCCAAAAACACAATAAAGTATTGCTCAGAGTGTTGGAATAGCCCAATCCACAGTTCATGCCATCATTCACAAGAATTTGAAACTGAAGAAATGCATAAAGGTCGAGTTCACAAGCTGCTGTCTCATCACATCCAAGAACGAAGGACCAACTGCCGAAAACTGTGTGAAAAGTATCCTTTGGTAAACAAGTGGCAGTTTGTAGTCATGCTAGATGAAGCATGGATGTACTGTACATGAACAATTGTAACAAATTGGGGGCAATTTACTACAGACCATCAGATGGGAGACCATACCAAAAATGGTTCAAGGAATGTCGCAAAAGTTTACTATCAGGCTTTATGGTCATTGCGGGTTATTGTTATTGTGGTAAACTAAACATCAGAAAAGTTGAAAAAAACATTAAAATTAACTTGACGTACTACCAGACTAACATTCTGGAACCTCTACACTGTGAAGAGATCCCTACTTTGTACGGAAATGACCAAACAAATCTATAGGTGCATCAAGACAAAGCTTCCAGTCATACCTCCAAATTAACCCAAGATTTCATCCATGTATTGGAACAGGAAACGGGAATCTATACCATCCTTTTCGATGACATTTCCATGAAGTCACCCACAACTCCATTGGACTACTGTGCATTTGGTCTATTGAAACGAGCTCTGGGAAGCTGTCGTCCAAAAACAATGGCAGGCTTATGGAAAGCCTGTAAGGAGAATGGGACTGTTTGGATATGAATGTTCTTCAAAGAAATCTTCTACAGTGGAAACTTTGATGTAGGGCTATAGTTTCACAACATGGCCATCAGATCGAGCATAATCAAAACTGGCACCATGGCATTTAGGTTACTTTATAGGCCTCTTAATTCGGCATTATGTAATGCGATTAACCCTCTGTACAGTATGTTATGAGATAGCCATTTTGGGACTTACATTGTTTATGTCTTCTTTTGTCATGTTTATTTTATAAATTTTATATATTTCTTTCTCTGTGTATTTTTCTATTAAAAATGATAAATCTTAACTGATTTAGTGGGATTCCGGGACATGTCCATAGCTTCATAACATCAATATTTTGGGGAAAATTGTGAGATTTGAAGTTTTCAGTGTGTTTGATTCTGGAATATATTAGCCTCAAATAGGTATCGATTCTCAAGAAATCAATAATAATTTAATTAGTAAGGAAGCAGTTAATATAAATTGCATTTTCATGAGCATAGTCATGTAGAGGATTTGACAGGTTGTAAATTTTGAATATGGAGTCACTTTGAGAGACTATGGTCCATGATTATTATAGTGATTCTTCAGGAACAATTTTTTAAAAAAATTTCCAAAGTTTAAATATTAATTAAATCTTTTGGCTAACTAGAATTTTTCTTCACTAAAATGTCTTCATCTTTCAAAAGCTGAAGTATAAAATAAAATTGATATTCCTCCAAAAAGAAATAATAAAGAGTGATAATGATAAAAACAAAACTGATTTGATTTTCATTGATGGAACATATTTATACAACAACCATATGGATATTCAAATTTTCCCTTTACAATAACTTGTAAATGTCAGAATTTTTAAAAACAGTATATCCAATTGTCAGGAACCTTGATTAGACTTAATCTTATGTTTGATGTCATAATTATAATGTTAGAATTAACTAGTTTTAAAAAATAATAAAAATAATAATTTGATATATAACTATATTAAACCTACAGAATGTGCAGCTGGAAGATTTGGTCCAAATTGTGGATTATCATGCCATTGTCTGGATGGACCTAAAGTTTGTGATAAAATCACAGGAATGTGTATTGGAGATTGTCAAGCAGGTTATATGGGAAAAGATTGTCAAACAAGTATGCTAAATATTTTTTAAATAATTGAAAAATTTATGCTATATAGCAGGGATGGCCAACACGTAGACCCCGGTTGACCGCAAAGGTTTTGAAAGTAGCCCGCGAAGCTAAAGTTGAACAATTTGTTTTCACGTAAATTAATGTTTAAAAACCTTAATTCGATAATTTATTCTTACAATAATAGACTGTCTATGCAACATACCCATACTGTTTGTATTTATCCCGATGAACAATGCAAATGAATGTTAACGCATGCTCATATAAAAATCCTAAAATTGTTTGCCCATATTCATAGTCGCCCGCAGACTACATTTTACCAAAAAAGTAGCCCCTAAGGGATAAAAGTTTGGCTACACCTGCTATATAGTATTAAAAATTAAATTTCAGAAGAAAGTACTAATAAGCTATTTAAAAAAGTAAAATACAAACTGATTTCAATTTATCTAAGTTTCTAATAATTTTAATATTACAGTTATCTTGATAACCACATTATCGTATCTGTTAGATAAATAACTTCTAACTGTATATTTTCTAAATATTTATATAAAGTTATTTTAATATCCTCATAACTTGATATTAATCTTTGATTTTTTACAGTAACACTTATATAGAGTTTCTGCTTTAAAATTATTTAAAATGATATAAATCTTTCACATTTGTATTTGTAATCAGAGATTAAACTCAGAATTAAAAATTAATGAAAGTGACAAATGACTTTTGCTCTGTAGACATAAATTATGCTATAAAAGCATTATCTCTATCTGTATATTAATCAAATGATCAACTGGATTCATATCAGTGTATAATATAGCTAATTAATTACTAAGATAATAAGTAATTTAGACTAGAAGTAGGTGATTAAGCCATTGTCTCATATTAAATTTAATCTTAAGAAATAAATAAATTTAATTTAGAATTAGATATACTGTACAGACATTCCTCACTTAACAACTGAGTTCTATTCCTACAATTAGGTCATTAAGTATAAAAACAATTAGATCACCATGCCAAGATAATATCTGTTAAAATATTAAAACATTACTGTCTATTGGTCTTAACCCCAATAGACAGTAATGTTTTAATATTTTAATAGGTAATTAAGCAAATTTGTCAATAAACAAGAAACTTAATTGTTTTATTTATTCTTGATAAAGAAACAGCCCAATGGAAACTCCAACTTGATAACTTTGCTTTAATTTACATTTCTTATATATTACAGAACATAAAAATACAATCAGCAAAAGTTACAAACTTTAATTTTTTGATACAATATTTTATTTATTTTAAAAAAAGTCATTCAGATTAATATTTTAGTCATTGAATCCTTCAGAGAGTGATAATGGTTCCAGGTTACAGTGTCATCATTAAAGTTATCAGCAGGGTTATTAGGAGCTGAAGAGGGCTTAGGTAAGGGATGCAGAGACTTTTGGCCAACTAAGTCCATCATCAGGTGATTAAAAAAGTGAATTAACTTAGTAGTTCACTTTTTTATGAACTTTGTTATGTAACATCTGGTGATTGTGCAAACCTAGGTAATTTAGCTACTAAGCTGATTGATTCACTTGTGCATCATGTGACAAAGGGCTTGGTTGTCCAAAAAAAATTAGCAAGTATTCCCTTCTAAAAGAAGAGAAGTATCAATTTTTTGAACAATAAATTGATTAAAAAAATTGACAAATGCTGGTAGTAGTCAGGAGAAATGTATTTTAAGTTCAACAAGATTTTAACTTCTCTAATTAACAAATTCTTGACAATATATATCCATTATATATATATTTACCATATTTCTGCATTTTTCACACCTGCATTTCCAAGGAATGTTTTTAGGGATAACAAAATGTTTGAGTATTTTTCACATGGAAAATGCAAGACTTCTCACTCTGAACCGTTTAGTATAGGAGATAGGATCATGTCCTATCAAGATGTCAGCCAACAAGAATTTTTACAGTATATACCATATTTACTTGTGTATAAGACAATCTCGCATGTAGGACGAGGTGTGACTTTAAAGATCAGAATAAAGAAAATTAGATTTATTAATACAATTTTTATTTTGTTTAATCACAAATAAAATATTATCAAATGCACGTATTAAGGCAAACAACCAATTTTTCTTGATGCTATCACTTTTTTGTCTAGTTGGACTTGCTCTTTGAAGTTTTGTTACAACTCTCTTTTTTTCTCTCTTATCTCTTTTGTCGCATCACTAGTATATCTCAAAGGACGCAACAGGGCTGTTGTAGATTTTAAACGTTTCTCACCATAGCTGTAAAAATCTAAATATGTTAAACTTAATAGTCATTTGTTTTCTAACTAATTCGTTTTAGGATCAAGTGTCCTCAGAAATTTCCAAAATTTACAACTTTTCAGTTACTCTCATTGAACTGGAAAAATTTCTGTCTTTATTACATTAATAATATGAAGAAGTCAGTCTCCACTGTACTTGGCTAGAGATGGTTTGGTTAAGCTTTTGTTTAAGTAAAATTTTGGCTCTTTCATCAGGGTTTTGTTTATGTCCCCAATTCCCTAATCGCTTAATTATTTAACTACTTCTTAAGTAGAAATAAGTCGAAACCAGTTACTTTGTACTCGAATATTTGTAGTCT